CATAATACTTACGGCCCTATCGGTGCCGCAGTTCCTGATCTGCGAGTGTTTGTCTTCATTAAACACCCCATCGATGAGCTTCTGGCGATTGGCCGCATGCCTGGCCTGAACCATAAACCCGGTAAACGTATGGCCAGTGTTAGCCACTATAGACACCGACACATCCCGACCCCCATTAATAGGCTCCACTTGTAGGGCGTAGTTATCTGCCGGCCCTGTCTGAGCCGGCACACCGTGACCCGGCACCATCGTGGCACAGGCACGGGTAGGCGCGCCCTGGCTATAGCCGTAAACTTTTAAGGGGTTACATAACAGGGTGATTAGTGTGATGATGGTGGTTAAGTGTCTTAATTGGTGGTAATCCATGTTTGATTTAATCCAGGTATAGTTTAGTTGTATAATAAAATCATTGATTTCTGAGTAAATAGAAAAATTAGTTTTTAGTAACTAGATGATATTTTTAATAATATTATGTTAATACTTTACATTTGCAAGTGTGAATGGGTAATTATGGTGTGAATAAATAGATCCGGCTCACAAACACACAAAAACACTTGTTTTTTAAATAAACACTTGTATTAAAGTAACAAGGTGTGCGCGCAAAAATATTAATTAAAATATTATCGATATTAATAAATATACTGATATAACAAAGGTGGTATTCACATGAGCTCGCACACAAATGTGGCACTAATGGCCGAGTTCATTTTGGAAAAACTTAAAATTCACTTAAAATTTGCATTTCATTTGATAGTGAAATGCAAAACAACAACAAAATAGTTGTGAGACTCAAGAGATAAGTTGTTTTACTCTCGACTCAAACCCAACACTGGATTTTGAATTGAGTTTTTCGTGAGTCTCCAAAACAACCGCAACTCTATTGGCAATAACATGTGGAAAGCCTTGTGCAGCACTGGTATGTGTATGTATGTGGGGACGCCTACCTGCCTCTCCGAAGTTTTCGTAGCTCCAGGCGCTCACTCTGTTTACTCCATCTCATGCCGGCGCTCGTTATCATTACTATAACTACCAGTTTGTGGAAAGTTGTTTAGAAAAGTTTTTAAACTTTTAGTTTATGTAGCATGCTAAATGTTTTTGTTAATTTAATGTTAGTAAATAACTGTAACTAAAAATATTTGTTTTGAATGTTATATAGAAAGTGTTTAGTTTTTATAAAAATTGCCAACGATATCAATAATGTTTTATATTTTTATTTTATAATGGCAATATATTTAAATTTAAATTTACTATAATTATTAGATTATAATTGCAAATGTAATTTATCAATAAATTAGTTAAATATTTGTAAATTATTTATTAATTATAATTTTTTTAAATAAGTAGCTTTTAACTTTTAGTTTATGTAGCATGCTAGATTTGTTTCACTTTTTTAAAGTTTAGTAGAATTTAATAACTGTAACAAAATATTTTACATTTGAATTTTATATACTGTAAAAGATTTTGTTTGAATTTCTAAAATGCATCGTAGCTCTTTTTTAATTTTATTTTATAATTACAAAACATTTTAAATCTAATTTGTATAATCTGTATAAGTAATATAAATAGATTGCGATGACACAGATAATTCATTAATTATTTTGTGAAGTATTTGTTAATTAATGTTTTTAAATAATTAACTTATTATTGATTATGCTGTTATATTTGATTATACAACTTAATTGTGAAAATTATTATAAATCGACTCAATTATCCAATTAATTAAATTCATGCCATTAGTGCTAAACCACAGACCAAACAGTCCTCCAGTATATGACATATAGCCTGCTAACTGATATTAAATTATTTGTGTAAACTATAAACAAAATAATGAACATTGCATTTTATTTAGTAAATAAAATCTTTAATAAATTAAAATTATTTATTACAAATGAGTTTCACATGATTTGGAAAAATTATTAGCAATGTTTTTTGTATCAATGTCTTTTGGATATATTTTTATTAACACCTGAATTAATGCCACCAAAATCATAGCTAATATAATAAACGCAAAGTCCATATAAAATATTGAAATTGGCTTAACCTCTAGATATACCCCATAAATAGTTGGCACAATTGTAGTTGCACCACCTTGTATTATCAATGACAATGTGATAGTCAGCTCACCTACCGGTGCAATCTGCTCACAAAACAAAACTGTAAGGGCCAGAAGGGCACCTACACCTAACCCATACATAATGTTTGCTATCCATAGGATTATTATGGAATTATTGCCAAAAATAACAAATAGTATCACAGATATTAATGTTAAGGTTAAACTTAAATATAACAAAATCGGGGCAAACATACCCCTAGTGGGAACTATAATGACTAATACCCTGCTTATAGTAACTGCTATGTTAAGCCCGGTTATTAAATATACAGTTGATTTGGCAGACATACCTAACCCAGAGTACTGGGCCCATGTGGTCAGATAGCCCTCGTGAGACACCCATAACCCTATGTTACAACCCTGTAATAGCGCGCACAGGACTACCATTAAAAACACCGATTTTGTTGGCATTAATTGTTCAAAAAATT